TGTTTAATGCACAATGATAATTCATTTTACAAAGCTGTGATGACTGTAGCAATAACAATAAACTGCAATGAATTAGTTACTTAAATGGTTATTCCCGCTGACTGTTACTCCAGAGTATAATTCCAAATACATATTATGACACATATACCGCTTTGTAAATAGAAAAAGAAAAACAAGAGAAAGAAACACAACCAAGAACTGTACAATTTTGAAAAAGGAGTAGGTGAGAGAGCATATGGTCCCTGAAGAGAGCCACTAGATCAGTCAAAGGATGACCACTGCCATGAAAAAAAAAAACTTTTCGTTGAGCACAAGCCCTATCATATCGAAAATAAGAATTATCCTTATGATGAGGTAGCTTTTGCCTAAGCCCCTCATAGAAGTACCTGAATCCTAGGAACCAAATCTGACTTCAGACATTGGTTATGCCAGAGGAAGAATATGAAGAATATCATTTTTAAAGAGTATGAGTAGTACTTTCTTTCAATAATAAATATTTCTTAAAGTGTTGAATTCAGAGAAAAATAATAATTTTATGAGGGCATGCTGCTTTCTGATTACTCAACTGTGCGTAGGGCAAGGTAAAGTTTTTTTCTTTTCAACAAGAATAGTAAAGGTAATGAAGGAAGTACTTGATGTAAAGGATACTTGAAACAAATCAGATTATGAAAATGTTAAAAATGATCACAATTATAAATTTTGTATAATAGGTTTCAAAACAAGAATGTGTAGGGGAACATTAATTACCATTTAGGGTTAAAGGTCGCTAAGAATATTCTTAGATGCAATTATTTTAAATACTCATCTTTTCAGACAAAGTTTAAAATTCAATTAGCCAAAAGATGTTTTTATTTCCATTAGAAGACTTCAGAACATCTGCTAATGAAGAATCTTCTGAAAACTTTTGTTTTATATGGAAATCCTTATACCTTCTCTAATAAACATTCCTTTCCCAAGATGGTAAAAACGAAAGTCTTAATACAGCTCAATTCTTTATTTCTCAAAATTTGTATTGAGTTACATCACAGTTTCATACAATATTGGCGGCATCACATATTCTTCATGAAATACAGGATGGGTCTCCACCTGAGCCCCGCGCAAAATTTTGCCCACCTCTCTACAAGACCAAATATTTCCATGAACTAATTCATGGTCCATAAGAACAATGCTTTGGAGAATACAAAGAACCATCCTACCATAGAAAAATGAATAAAACAAATTAAAAGATAGGGATAAACAAGACATTTTGTGGCTAGTAAAAAGAGAAACTTTGGGGCTACAGATGGAGATTCAACTCTACTTCAAAAAAACATTTTCACATGAGAGTAAACATTACTTGCATTCCTTGGTACTTCTAAGAGATAAAATGGTCCTCCATCAGTGGAACAACTACAACACTACCATTGTCATTACAAGTTAACTATCTAAAGTCTCTACTTTTACTACAAAACTTTGGGAAATTCCCATACTGAACATTTTGTTAAACATTAAACTTAAGAGCAGCACAAGGTGTATCTAAATATTGTTGTACACTTTACAAAATTCATAATACTATTTCCAGCTCAGCCTTTGATATTCAAAAAGTAGACAAAAATAATAATGCATTACTATATTCCAAAGTGCATCAAATATATGTTTTAAAAAGAAGTCTTCAAAACCAATGACATTTTTTTATCATAATTTTGACATAATTCAAATCTGTTTCTTTGGTAATGCTGTCAAGAAACCTGAGACAACAACATCATGATTCCTAAAGCTTTCAAAGTAGAGATTCTAAAAATTACTGCCCAGTCTGTAAATAAGACACAGACCTGCCTACCAAACAGTTACAAAGTGTGGCTCTCTTTAAACAAAATTGAGAACATGATTCACGGTAACATATTTTCCATTAGAGAGAACATGATTTCAATTGACAGTTCATAATTTAACAATGTAGCATAACAATTGTGATTTGCATTTATAAAGTTATTATGTATTGCTTAAAAAAATAAAGTGATGTAAAACTAGAAGTCTCCTTTCCAATACAAGGACATAAAAAAGTCAAATGCAGCTACTGATGAATACAAACCATATAAACCCCATCCTCTTGAAAAATCTTGAAGGGAAAACTGAATAAACAACATTTCCTTTTCATTGTCCTTAGCATTTAAAATATACTTCACCAGCAGTATGAACAAAAAGGAAATTTGCAAATTAGTCTCCAAATGCACACCAAATACAGAATTTTATCACAATATCCAAACCAAGGGCTGCCTTTTAAGCCAAGACAATAAAATTATTAGGGGAGATAAAACTTCCACCACTAATTCACTTGCAGAACAACTGGACAGATGACCCTGGTCGTTGCTTCTTGTTTGCAGTGAGTTGCGAGAAGAATTCGCGAATGTCCTCATCTCGAACCACCTTCTTGTTCTCAGCAAATTTACGCAGGTACTCTCTCAGGGATGAGCTCAGAGTGTTGTACTCTGGGTGTAGAGAAAATATAAATTTAGTGGGGGGA